AGAGAGAGAGAGAGAGAGAGTGAGAGAGGACAGTCGCTCTCGTTTGTTCTACAGAGTTCATACTCGTTTCTCTGCTTTACCCATTGTTTTCTTCTCCAAATTCTCTAATTTCTCTTCCGAATTTCATTACCAGGCCTGTAAAATTCCACCTGCAATGCCCGATCTAGTGTTTCATCTTGATTAATTGGGCTTTTGCCGGGGTTTTCTGGGGTTAGTTTGGGATTGGTGAAGTGAGAAATGCTGGTGGCTGCCGCCGGTGGGATGAGCCGAATAGGATACGGCGGAAGCTGCGGCGAGAGCAGCGAAGAGGAGCTTTCGGTGCTCCCCAGGCATACGAAGGTGGTGGTTACTGGGAATAACAGGACTAAGTCGGTGCTTGTCGGGCTACAGGGGGTAGTCAAGAAGGCGGTGGGGCTTGGCGGCTGGCATTGGCTGGTAATTGAGATTCTTCGTTTGATTTCTTTTAATCAACTTTGAACTGGTGTTCTTCTGATAATTGGGGTTGGTTTCAGTGATTCTGGTTAGAGTATCGGTTGGGATTTTGGAAATGGCTTTTGAGGGCTTGATTTGCTTGGAAATATGATTCTGATGTGGCAATGCGGTAGAATTGTGAGAGTTCTGGTATTGGATTCGGGGTTTCCTTTTTTTGAGTTCGAATTTCTTGCTTTTTTAGTAAGTGGGTGCTTGTTCTCGTAAAAGGAACTTCTTTTTCGTTTTTTTTTCTAATATTTTATTGAGTTAATCGTGGCTTTGATTCTTTGAATTAATTATTTCTGGTTGCTTCAATAATTGCTAGGGTTAGATTTAAGAGATTTCCTAATTTTGTAATTTTAAGTTTAGGGTTTCAATTTAGATTAAGCATTAATTGCTACACCCAAAAAATTAGGGTTTTTTGGATGCAGTTTTTGAGTGAACTTCCGCTTCTGAATTGTGCATCTTATCCTCAGTTTATTTCTAGGGTTTTCTGGCTTAAAATTTATATTTTTTTCGTAAATGGACTTGAAATCCGAAGCATTTCTTCGTGATTTATGGTTTATTTTGTATCATGGAACTTTGGCCTTTCCATTTATTGGTATTGGTTATTTGCTCTAGCAAATTTACGTGCTTTCGTTGTTTCTTTTCTATTTTCCGCTAATTGAGTGGGGCTGCTTCTGCGGCTGCCCTAATGTGTAATCATTGATTGGAGCAGGAGGGTTCTGCATGGCTTGTTTTTTTAGTTATTATTTTTAGGCTAGGGTTTGAGTAAATGTTGGCTTAAAGTGGCTGATTTCATTTCAACGGCTTTTAATTCATAGATCTCCGTGAATCTTTGATTCATGCTCCCGCATAGCAATTTTAGAAGGTTATTTCAGCTGCAATTAACTCTTGTTCTCTGAATGGCATTAATTTTGCTGCCTCTCTCGTTAAGAACTGTTAGCCTTTTTTGGTTAATATGCCTGCTTTCCTTTTTTTTTTCCATTCAACTAATGTTGAGTATTTGGATTAGATGGCTTACTTATATTCCTGATTAAAATTTTCATTTTTCTTAAGATGTTCACGTTTAATTGGTTTTCTTTTTGGCAGTTTATCGGCATCATCTGAGCTTTTTTATGTATTTACATCTTCTGCAATGCTATTATGGGTGTTTCTATAAAAGTAGAATTATAACTATTTTATAGTTTTCTGATTTGCTTCCTGCTCATAAGAGTTTTTATGCTGTGAATTTTAAAGTGTATCTTGCTAAACTTTCTTTTTTATAGTTGCTACTTTGAGATGGTGTTCTGTAGAACTTGTTTAAAACTTAATTGTTCAAAATTTATTTTTACATGCATTTGAATTTTATACGTTGGGTTTTATGTACTGGCTGTTCATCTTTTTTGGGTTTCAGTTTCTGCTGGTGTTTGGATCATTCTGAAAAGTTTTATTTTCGTGAATCTTCAAGTTGTGGGTATGAGATTTCTCTTGTATTTGGAGATCTCTGTTATGGGGCCATTTTAACTAAGTCATTTTGAAGCAGCTTGGGATTTGATTTTGTTCCAATTTCTATATTGAGGGAACAGAATTTAATTAAGATAAAATGCTATGATTTTTTTATTCTGGTGAACATAACGTTTTTCTGTTTTTTTCTTCCCCTTGTTTTTTAATACAAGTTTTCTGCTTCCGGGGTTTGGATGCTGCTTCCTCTTTTAGCATTTTTTTTTCCCAGAAATGCATGCTATTTGTGCTACATGCATGTATTGGATCTTGTTTATTTTTTCTTGTTTTTTTTTTAAAAATTTTGCAAGCAGTTTTCTATTTCTTGCATGATACATTTGATGAACAATTTTCTAATTTTGCTACAGTTCTGTCATCTTCTGAATAGCTGTTACGCAACTAAAGCGGGCTTAAGATAATTAGAGTTATTTGCGCTTGCAGGTTCTAACAAATGGCATTGAAGTGAAGCTTCAGAGGAATGCTCTCAGTGTAATTGAAGCTCCAACTGGTCGTGAGGATGATGATGAACTTGAATGTGAAAATGTGCAGTGGAATAGCTCTGATCTGGGTAAATTCCTTGCAAATTTTATGCACACAACTTAAAAAATATTTTATTTATTTAGTCATTTATTTTATGTGCTGCATATTTTAGAGCAAGCATTGTTCGCTATCCTAAAGGCCAACAAACTTATCTTGCAGTGAATCAGAATCTCATTTTGATTTTGCTCATCTTCTATAAATATCTTTTTAGATTCCGGTATCAATAAGCAAAATTGGCTTTTTCTGATTATCCAAAGATATATATCTTTTAAAACTACATGAAACTGGTTTTCTTCTTTTTTTGCTTCTCTTTTATTCGTTTGGATTTCTTTATAAGATCCTCAAAATTAATTTTTTCTAAATTTCAAATATTTTTTTTATTGAGCATGAGAGATATTTTATACTATTGATTCTTAGAAGTTCTTGATTTTCTTTCTATGGTCTATTAACATTTTGTCTAGATTCGCAACTCTCGTCCTTTCTACTTCTGGATATGTATCAAGTAGTTACTTTGACCGTCCATAAATTTCTTAGTTGCTGTAAAAATCTGATTTTTTATAGATATTTCATATTAATCTTTAAGTTACTTTTAAAGATACAATATTTGATTTTTTTATTTTCTCAAAAAGAGCAACAGCAAAGTGCTCTCTTTGTATCTATCCCCCAAAATTTCTCCTCAAGCATTGTTTTTGAGGGCAAGCAGAACCATTCTGCAAAGTTTATGCATGCTTCTTACTTAAGCTAGATTGATTATCTCTCATTCACGACCTTTTAATTATTCTGAAACATCTTTTCTTTTCAGTGCTGCCCCTCATTTGTTCTTTCGCCTTTATTCATCCTCCACATTCCTTTTACAGCGTTGTTTCTCTTTGCAGCATCTGATGAAATGCAGTCACAAAAGCCACACAAATCAAGAAATCGGTCTCACAAAGCTTCCGCTCATAAATCGTTCAGCCGTTCCCATTCTTGTGACTCGCAGTCTAAAGGTTCCATTTCATCGTCTCGGGCAATGACGTCGGTATGTGGCTCAATATAAAATCGCTTCTTTAATCAGTATTTCATCAAGAGCCAGATTTTCAAATTTAAATTCAAGGGCGCATACATACATACATACCACCCAGTTCCTATGTATTTACGTTTCTAACACAAACTTTTAAATAGTGAAATGCACCTTTTCATGCATAGGTGTGGTGTCACATATGTAAAAATTTAGGTGTTAGATATGTAAATACAGAAATTGATTGGTATCTATGTAAATCTTCCTTTAAATTACTTCACATGTGGCCTATGCTTTAGCTCTTGGGGGCCGAAATGCTTTATGTGCTTTTCTCTGTCCCAAACTTCTGCACACTTTTTTGGTGCTTCTTTGCTCTTAGTGCTTTTACACGTTTGAACATCTGTGGAACAATTTGCTTGCGTTGTTTTCTCAACAGTTCTTCACTATTTTTCTTTATTTTTTACATTTTGAATGTTTTTTTCTTACAGAAAGTCGACTTAAGCAAGCTAGAAACTACGGCATTATGGAGATATTGGCATCATTTCAATCTTGTAAGTTCTCAAACTTTAATGCACTATTTCTCTCAGGGAGCCTATTAAGTATCATAATTTTTTTTTAATTATCTGAATTGAAAATGATAGAAAATAAAGAGTTACATACTTAGTAAATAATTTTATAATCAAAGTTATGGTGATAAACTAAGAACTCACACAGATGAAGTCAAGTGAAGCCTATAGAAAGCCTCACTAACATAGCATCTCTTCTCCTAAAATACCTTTTGATTATATTTTGGAAGATTTACATACATACCACTCAATTCTTATATATTTACGTATCCGAGACCTAAAACTTCAATTTTTTCACCTTGCTTATGCATGAAAAAGGTGTATTTATCTTTTTAAAAGTTAAAAAAGTGATATTTTAATCTAATATGGAAGTTTTCGGTTGTTATAAATGTAAAAATGCAAAATTTAACTGTTCGAGATGTAAAATCATAAGAATTGCCTGATTTAAGAGGCTTTCTTTTATGCAGATGGAACAAGTGGGTGTCATCCCTAACCCCTCCAAAGAACAGTTAATAGATGTGGTTCAAAGGCATTTCATGTCACAGGTTCGTCGTCTTCCTTCCACCCATAGTACATTTTCAACATCCTCCATCAAAGGAAACTGATTCCAAATCTTGTTTATAACCCAATTGCTCTCCATTCAAAAATATAGCAATTGGATGAGCTGCAGGTAATCTCCGGGTTTGTCCAGGCGGCGAAAAGACTCAAATCCGTCTGCAACTGATGCTTAGATCAGAAGATATGTTGTCTTCAAAAATTTGTGATTCGAGCTCCCACTAACTGATTGATATTTGTGATATTTTTCGCTGCCTGTAGCTATATTTCATGTAACATATGTATCCCTCTGGTTTGGGTTGCTGGAACTCTGCATGGGTGACTGGGTTCTTCTTCTTCTTCTTCTATTGCTAGAGGTTGCAGATCTTGTAATGTAGATACTGCGCCATCTCTGAAGACGTGGTAGTTGCCATTTAGGGCCCTTAATGTTCCCAATCTGCTGAAACTTTTAACTGACCATTGTCTTTGTTCTTTCTGTGAAGCTGTTTTCTGCTATCATTCGTCCTTTTTCTCAATCATGGCTGTGGAAATTGCCTGTTTGTTTGTGTTTGATCTAACTTGGCTTAATAAGCAGATGCCTGATTTTGTTTATGCATGCATTTTTTTATGTGTTATTATGTATGTTTCTGTTTTATAATCTCTATCATTAATATACAAACCCAACATCAAGTTTTATAAAATTTATTTAAAAATAAGAAATGCAGTATGCTCTATTGTGATGTATCCATTTGAAAACTATGAATATGAAAAAATAGATTCAGTTATAATAAATAAATACTTTGTTACTATGGTTGCTTGTTGTATGATTAAATGTGCTTCAGATTCTTTTATGGCTATATGATATGCTTCCATATTTTGAAAGTGTTAAATATGACTTAAAGTTGAACTGTTATTATGTGCCTGCCTGAAAAGGAAATATTTTGAATATATTATGTATATTATATAAAATTTGGTTTTGGATTTGTATAGAATGGAGCAGTAATAACACAAAAATTTAAAAATTATCTTTTTATAAAGATGGATAATATATGAAATGTTAGTTATATATGTGTTGTATTATTCGTATGATTGTTGAAATATGTGTATATGTTGCCCAAGGCGAGGTGACCTGACTCCAACAAAATGACACCATGAATGTTGCGTCGTGTTCTTTTAGATGATTGAAACACATCTATTCATGTACGGGCTGGTTTCGTTTGATGAATGTATAGTCATTATCGTTTAAATATTATATAAATGGAATATTATTTTTTTATATTTATATATGTTGGTTAATATATAAACATATTAAAATAACATGTTTGTATTTATGTTTGAATATTAATATTATGCAATATTTAATACTTGAATGTTTTTAATTATTCTTGCATGTTAAATCAATTAATTGGCTCGTGAAAATGATGATAGCTTTCCTTACTAAAATTAAAGTAAAATTATGGTCATCATTCATCCTCTCACTAAGAAAAAAAAAAGAGGATTTTACATTAAAGACATCTATTTATTTCAGAAAATGTTGCGTTTGTTATTAAAACGTGTCGACGACAGTATGAAAATTTAACACAAACTTAGAAAAGAGAAAATAAATAATAATAATATTAGAATTTTTTACGTGGAAAACTTGGAAAAGTGAAAATAACGAGGTTAACTCAATTAAAGAGTTTCATTATAAAAAGATGATTACAGTTGCAACCTCTTCTCCTACACATGGGAAAATATTACTAGATTTTTCAAGTTATAACGTCGACGTGCTGATGAATTTGTTGATAGAAACGGGTGGTGACCGATAGCGATTCGCGACCTCCGGTCGGTGGCGATCGACAAAGGTTGGCAGTGATCAATGGCAGTCGACTGTGGTCAACGGAGGTCGGTGATGGTTGGCAGCAGTGGTGTTGGATTTCAGTGGTGGTTGGCGGTTGTCAACACTCAACGGGGGTCGACGATGATCGACAAAAGTCGATGACAATCGACGATGGTTAACGAAGGTCACTGTCGAACCATAGCGGTTGGCGGCGGCGGTGCTGGATTTCAGCTCATTCTCAAAGCTACAAGCTCTTTCTCAGATCTTAAAATCTCTTCCCCGTCATGAGAGGGGTGGGGTTCTATTTATAGTGTTATTGGTGTAATTAATGCAGAAATGTGAACCACTTTCATTGGACGGTTTATAGAGCTTCTTTCGATAAGACGACGTTTGATTGACATTTGAGTGAACGATGTCGGAATTGAGCAATATTGGACTCGCTGGATTCTTCTTGCTGAGACGCTCTATTTGACTATAGGCTTACCATATTTGGTATCTGTTTCACCTTCCAAATGTGTCCATAAAGCTTTTGAAAGTGGTTTAATGACGTAATTTGATTTGGATTAGATCAATTTTGGTTTCATATGGTTCCTCTCATCGAGTCGGTCAGTTTGACTATAATTTTATTGAAATCAGAGCTCTGGATGACTCTCAATTAAAGTTTGAACATTATTTGCATAAAAAATTACCTCAAGATCCGTGATGAATGATGGCTTTGTTGATGTTGTATCAGAGCTAATTCTTAAAAGACGTACAAACTTGTTTAATTATTAAATTAAAAGAACTTGACCGAATATAAATCAAGTTGAGTTTGAGTTGCACATCCAAAGTGTTCTAGTTCATTTGTATCCCTATTTACACCCAAAATCAATAACCGACAGTAAATATGCTTCACGGATTTGTCAACATGGTATGTGAGATTAATTGAAATGTTAATAGATGTTACTAATCAAAATCTTCATTCTCTTCTATCAAGTAGTATGTCTCCCTTTTTTCTTTCCCCTCTCCTTTATACTTAACAATTTATATAAATTATGGAATGTTTTCGTACAAACCACTCAATTCCTATGTATTATATACCTACCAACTCAACTTCAATTTTACATACCACCATACCTATACATGAAATGATGCATTTCATTTTTTTTTTAAGTAAAAAAATGATGGTATTTTATATATGGTATGAAAGATTTAGGTGGTATAGATATAAATATTAAAGTTGAGGTGTTATATATATATAAATACATAGGAAGAAGTCAGAGGAGAAATTATGACATACGGAGCACGTACACAGCACTACGTGCGGACTCTACTAATATGCCGTCATGTGTGCTATATCGGGCCCACCTTCGGCGGAGATTATTGGGAGGTTAATTGGGGGTTTTTGGAGCTTAATTCTAATAAGACCTTATAACCTCTGCTGTTACACTCTCAATAACCTCCGTGGTTACACTCTGCAATAACCACATAATAACGTTTCAATAACCACCCAATAATCTCGGCCCCTAACATAACCCTCGCAATAACTTCATAATAACATCGCAATAATCCCTCAATAATCTCTGTTGTTTCACTTCAATAACCTCTTCACGTGACAACATATTACTGGAAGTCCGCACGCAGAGCTGCGTAAGTGCTCTGTGTGGAATAATTTCTTAGAACTAGAGAGAACCGTCGATAAAGATTATCATGACATAAAAAGACGTGTCAATCTTTACTTATGAGGCCGTGTGATACTCATATCACATTTTTTTCATCAAGAAGATAAACGCAATAACATACAAAATAATTTTATATTTCTATTCTCTATGCATAGAAAGAAGTCAGAGGTGGCCTCGAGAGATCTGTCTTTTAGGGTGCCAAAAAGGATTATTTTTCCTTTTGATCTCTCTCTCTTATTCTCCTTCTCATTATAAGGTAAGTAGAGACCCTTCCTTTGAACCATTTAGGGCCCATCAAAGATCTTAGGAAAATATAGCCCTACTAAAACAATCACATTTTCTTATACATTCTTCTTAAAGAAACTACGAATTCCCGAATAATACATGACCCATTATATATATATATAATATATATATATATATTTATATAATTTGGAGTTGAATTAATTTTTTAAAGTATATCAATTTAAAGTTTTTAAAATTATTTATGGACGAATTTCAAATTTCAGAAATAATTAGCAGTCCTAAAAAGGAAGTAAGATTACATTCTTTGCTCATATTACTTTTTTCATAGAAACTCATCCATGGCATGGCATGATTTGCTCTTTAAGGATGTGTTACGTAGGCTTGCGGATCAGAACAGAGAATGTGGCATCCTCCATGGGACATGTCTCAATATGGCCCAAAAATGAAACAAACCCACAGGCCTTCATCTTGTTCAACATTCATGAACCCTAAAACTAATAAAATAGGAGAGAATGCACGATCAATCTTTGTTCCAGAAGAGGCCATGGAGGGATCTCAGAGTCTGTTGATTCTCTGCACTTTCTTTCTACCTCTGCAAACCTGTTGAACAAAATGTAGGAATGAGAGAAAGGAGGCGTTTCTCCATTAATCAAGAGGAAGAGAGAACAAGCAGACTTACCAGTGCTGGATTCACACGTGCAGAAAGAATGAATATAACCCAATTGCTTCTGCAACTCATTCTTCCCCTGTGGAGGGTGGCAGGGGTCTCAGCACATTCAATCTATAACCATGGTAGCAAGGAAGGTAAGGAAAACAATGATAAGCCTGTTTTATGATACCTTAAAATGGCTTTCAGATTTCTTTTTGTTGCTGCAGGTGATGGTGTTGGTAGCCTATATCCCAAAAGAAATGGAAGAAAGTTAGATTCAATTCAGGTATTTCAGCTGGAAGAAATGAGGCATGTTGATTAACTTAGTCGGCATGCCTTGTAGCAGGAAAAGAGAGGAGAGCTGGCAGTGTCTTCCAAACTGAAATACAGTTTCTTCTCCTTCTCTTCTTCAGAGCTTCTTCTCTTGTCTCTATAGTTAGCAAAGCAGCCATCTCCTTCATTGTAGCAGCAGCAGCAGCAGCAGTATCTGATGTTGTTGTCCTCGTGAACAAGGGGTGGACCAGAAGAAGCATCAGAAAGCATAGACAAGTCCTCCTCTTCTTCTTCCTCCCCTGTTCTTACTCGAACAGAGACGGTGAAGCTCTCCTGCGACTGGCCTAAGTAAAGAGTCCAGCCAGATTGACAGCCACTGCTGCATTCAGAATCGGATCTCTCTTCCTCATCCATGAACTCTTCCAAGCCGCCAGCTTTCTTCATCCTCAGTGCTGCTTGATGAAAATGGGAGTGGTGTGGAGTTCTCTTTCTCTCTCCCTGCTGCTCCAGTGGTGCAGTAGAGTAGTTTGAGGATGGGATGAGAAGACTTTGAATTATACCCGTATCCCAGACCAGTCTTGTCCTCTCTCCATTCCATCCTTGGAACATCATCTCGGTTTCCTCATTCAGATGAAATTAAAACTGCCAGTTGGGTAGAGAGAGAGAGGGAGGAAGCCAGACCTCTCTCTCTATACCATATGTCTGAATCCGAGAGATACCGAGGAGAGAGAGAGAAGCTTCACATGCAATCCAGCAAAGCAAGGTGTACGCCCTGCAGCTTCATTATATTATGTCTGTTTCTCTGGATTCCCGTGAGGACTTGGGGGAGAGGAGATACATAGAATACGTGTATGCACTGGAGAGGCCCCTCCATTGATTTGTCCTCTTCCTCCCCCTCTCCATCTCTCTCTTCCCCTTTCCCCGCACATGGTAAAATACAATTGCTATAGAATAATATTTGGTCTACTTTCCTTAAAATCATTTTCAGTGCTGCTAAATTCCTCATTTTTAGGAATGTATTATACATTATCTAATTAGCTGATTTTTTTCCTCTGTTGGAAAAATTGAATTTTTGCATCATTTGTTTCTATTTTATTGCAGGTGGAGGAAGTTATAGTACTGGAGGTATGCATCAGTATTTTGAGCTGGAACAGCTTTTGATTAAAGTACTATTGAATGGGTTATTTAAAAATGGTAAAAGCAATGCTTGTTTGAAGAAAAAGTGATGCTTCCAATTCCAGCAGCCTATTTACGAGTAAATGGTAGATATTTATAAGATTTGTGAAGGAGTTCAAAATATATTTTAATTATCAATTGTTAATTTCTAAGTTAATTGTCATTAAGGCTTTAAGAAGATTTATGTTGGGCTTAGAAGGCCATTTATATTGCCGTTACCATTCTGTATCATTTTCTCTTGCTGCGTTATTGGATTATAATTAATTTTGCTATGGCTCTGTGGTACATGCACTCCAGTACAGTGCCACATTCTACCAAGTCACTGTAGGGTGAAAGGAGCGGACAAACAACTTTTAATGTTCTGAGCTTTTTGAATTCTCTTCACAGCTGCTGAAATTTTTTTTATGGCACATTCAGTTTTCAAGGATTGGGGAAGCCATGAAGTTGATGGTGATGTATTTTCATTTTCTTATGTTATGAAGATGGAGGTTGAAGAAATTGAAGTGGGAGAAGATGGTTGGAAGGAAAAAAAAAAGCTTGTTGGAGATGATAAATAATTTCTTAGCTTTTTATGTAATCTTTTAAAAGTAATAAAGAATAATTTGATGACTTATATAGGCTCGTGACAAAAAGGACAATTTAGTCATTTTATTAGTTATTATGGTGGAGTATATATAAATAAGGCTTAAAATGTTGGGGACACGGGATATATGATTGTTGTCTTGTAACTTGGGGTTAGGATCAGAGAAATCAGATCGTCTGTATCTCGAATTGTAAGTGTTTATTTTTTATATATTTGTTATTGTAAAGTTTTGGTTTGGTACCTACAGAATATAATCTATTATTTCTACCCTTATTTTTGAATAAACTTGTCTCGTTTCATGTACAACGATTTATAGAAGAGTTAATATTTTAGAGTCCGTTGTCCCAAACACGAGTTGGAGGATGCTTTGAAGAAATTAAATTAAGATAAGGTTGAGTCTACCTATGAATATTCTAATTTGCAAGTATATATAGAAGATGAAGACTAAGTATCAAGAGGCAAGGATTCTTTCAAGATCTTGGCACAGAAGCTCCCTAGTATGAGGCAAGGATTCTTTCATTTACAATGCATTTACAATATACTTAAAAATTTGATATTTACAAGTATGAGGCAAGGATTCTTTCAAGAGCAACTCTTGAGCCATCTCTATCTTTGGATTTCTCATTATTTTATTTCTCAAGCGATGTATACATACATCCCACACTATCCCATGCATTTACAATATACTTAAAAATTTGATATTTACACTTATAACAGATTTGCATATCTAACACATATAGTTTAATACTTACATTTACAATATTTTGGTATCATATGCATAAAAAGTGTATTTTACGGCATTTATATATATGTGTGTGTCTGCTCGCGCATGCGCCGCCTACCGTGACTCTTTGATTCGCAATTTGTAAGACTCATGGGGTCATGGGTTCGATCCCGCCTATGTGTGAAATGAAATTCTTATGCACATAAGGTCATTCGGGAGGCTCATCTAATAGGATCTGACCAATCTTTTCAATATATATATAAAAAAAGAAGGTTTTGCAAATGACCCCTTGTGTTTTTCTCTCTAATACTTAACCATAAGAGGGCTCTAAACAGTTCTTTTTTGTTTAATTATGTGCTATTCATATTACAAATTTACACGTTTAAATTACAGTGATAAATAAAATATCATGTGATTGATGGCTTCAAGGCTTAATTTAAATATATATTTAACAGAATTTATGAGTACAGAGAAGAATCATAAGATACTTATGTTCATATTCTTTTAGTGCATCTACTACAAAAATTCCTTCATTCGCTTCGTAGGTAGATATTATGTGGAAATATTTTGAAGGTAGAAGTGTAATTTTCGTGATTGATGGCTCCTTTAGTAGCCTGAAGATTTAAAAATAAAATAAAATAAAAGGGTTTAGATGCACTCTAGAGTTAAAAATTGAAATTAATATAAACTTACACCTAACTAAACGTATGGCATTTACATTATTACCACCCAATTCCTATGTATTTACATATTTAACACCCAAGCTCTACTTTTTACATTTATACCATCAAAATCTTTCAATATTACAAAAGATACCCCCACTATTTTAACATTAAAAAGTGAAATACACCTTTTGATGCATAATTAAGGTAGCATATATATATAAAAATTGGAATTTAGATGTCAGATATGTAAATACATAGGAAACAAGTGGCATGTATGTAAATCCTCCTTACCTTCATAATTCAAGAAAGCCGATCATTATCCACTTAAAACCTCTCTGTACGATCATCTTCTCCATCACTTTTCTTAAGCTTTTGTTATTAACATAAGCCCCTTTGCAACCAAATTCCCCAATGATCTCCTATGAAAGTATCTCAGCCCATGTGCCTCTATCATCACAAAGGATCTCCCATGAGCCTATCATGGAGATAAGGGGGGAAGAGAGAGAGAGAGAGAGAGAGAGAAGAGAGAGAGAGAGAGAAGAGAGGAGAGAGGAACGGCCATGGCTTTGGTGTTTTCTTTCACTTAAAAAGAACACCTTTACCACATGATAGAAGCTTTCCTGTCCCAACTACTCTTTAAAAGGAAAGGCAGTCCATTACTCACCACATGCTTCAATACCTCTGGCCTTCCATGACCCTTGATGAGATTGGATGTACAGCAACCCATGGGATCTGTACGACATATTATTGAAATCAATGCAGATCTTGTGCACATCATAACTCTTAAATTCATCTATACTTCAAAAACATATACCAAAAATTTATAAGGACCTAAACTTCATCCTCCGTGTGTGATTCAGCTTAAATAATGTTTAAATGTGCAACACAGTAGTTGTAATATATATATATATAGATATATATATAAAGGAATGGTCGGAGGCTATGATACGAGTCCTGATCATCCCTCATACGCCTATAATTCGAGTACCACACCCTGCACTCGAGGGGAATCAAACTCCTGACTAGAGGGCACTTACAACTGACAAACAAATGTCTGATCTGAATAAGCGGCACACACACACACACACACAATGTGGCCTACCTAACAGGGTTCCCACATTGTGTTTAAGGACTTTGGAACCTCCAACAGTGATCATTAAAGTGATCATAAAAATTAAGACTACTAAAGCTCATTTCACATAAGAGAAACAGTAGCAAAACAGTAGTCCAATATGTGATTGAAATAAACTTTGTTGCCACATTCATAGCCACAAATATGCAATTAGTGTTGGCACTAAAGGCCAGCTTCAGATAGTTTTTTTTTTCACTGTTTGTCTTTTAGTTTCTTGTCATACTGTGGTTTGGCTATTAGTTTTTGGGGCATCTACATATAAGCCACACAATTAATATATATTTACATATCTAACAACTAAATTTTACTTTTTACATTTATACCAGCCAAATATTTCATGTCACAGCAAAAGTACCACCATCTTAATTTTTAAAAAGTGAAATACACCATTTCATGCATAAGTTGACATGCATAAGAAAATTGAAGTTTAGATGTTAGATATTTAAATATATAGGTCTGTATGTAAATCTTCCTTAAATTTTTCTATTGTTTTTTTCAAAAATTTCTATGATGATAAGCAATTTCTAGCAACCAGACCAAGTAGTGTGATAGTTCTATATGAAGTTTTACAATTAACTGAAAAAACAGATCCTAAAAAGGATAGAAAAGAGAGAGAAAAAAAAAAGGTTTAAAAACCTCATATGACTATACATTGCATCGACACTTTTTGGGCCAACTTCAAAGTACCAACGCATCAAGACTTTTTATGAGGTTATGAGTAATGCAATGTATCATCAGTCTGTGATTTGTGAGTTGAGACAAAAGTGGAATCTTCCTTAATTGCATCGTCTTAATTTGCATAATCATCTCATTAGTGCTAAATCTATTGTGGATTGAAGCAGTACAAAAGTTACAATGTTTTGAATATATTACTCTTTAATCATGTTGTGTGGGCTACCAGATAAAAAGGGGCATTTACATGCATAACACACAATTCTTATGTATTTACATATCTAACAGCTAAATATTCATATTTACATACATACAACCCAAATCTTTAGCATCACATCAAAAAATATTACCATCATTACATTTTTGAAAGTGAAATATATCTTTTCATGCATAGGTTTATGAAACCAAGGTATTATTAAGTGTAAATGTCAAGCACTGGATGTTAGACAAGTAAATACATGAGAATTGTTTGATATGCATGTAAACTTCCAAAAAAAAAAAATCAATACTAAATTATGGAAATGAAATATAACTATATAAGAAATCATCAAATACAGAAAATTTAAGCCACATGTTGATATGAGAAGATGACTTCCCCCAAAATGAGTCATATTTGCACCTAATAAAAAAGATTAGCATCCAAGCAAACAGACAAGATTGAATAAAGTCTAAATTTTAATTAAGCAAAAAAAATATCTGAAACATGCCTTAGATATAATATTATCTGAAACATGCATAGGAATAGAAAAAGTGCCCACTAGAAAGTGTAGTCTTCAGAACCGCCAAAACATTGATTTAACTAATAAATTATAGGAAGCACACTTGTTACAAATATAGTTATCAAATAACTCCAAAAATAGGTAAGCTAACTACATTTCATATTGATTCAAAGATCATAAAATCAAAATCGCCAATCCATGCTAGAATCAAAGATTTTAGTTTAGAATCGAACCAAGGATATCATGATAATGGAGAACAATTCTCGATAACAAAAGACGCATAATCGCATTTAAAACAATATACTAAAATTAAAATTAGAAAATAATGAAGCTAAACTAAGGCTTCGTTTGGGCAGCTTATCCGTTGCGGCGGCATTTTGAAAACGCCGCCTCATCGTAAAAAAATTGCGTTTGAGCAGCTTATCCAAAAACG